GACTCTCATAAAAAATTCGCTACCCACACGCAAACTATATAAACCAGAGATACCATATCGACAATATAATTTCCATATACTTGCATTCAAAAAGCAGCACCAAAACATCATGATTCCTTACAAAAGAACTAAAAAAAACCCCACAGATCTATTTCAATTACCATCAGAAATTCTACAACGAATTATTGTAAAAGCAATTGACAAAGACGACACCGGTTTTCAAGCAATACGGTTAACGTAAGTTTTACTAAAACCATCGTATTTCATTAATCTATTGATTTCATTATTTTCTTGGTCATACAGAAAATGCTATTTATACAAAACGGTTAAACATACAACTAATAACAATAGGATAGTGGTTTGTTCAGCAAGAGTCTTATAACGATAATGGTTAACCATACAAATGGTTATGCCGAACCATGTGCATCTTTAGTTGTTAATAGTTTTCTAATACACAAAAACCAAAATGCTTTTTAGGATCCATTTTTAACTGAATCATATTTGGCACACTTATTTATTCTTAATTCCTTAATCATACAGGTAATGGTATTGTGATTCCCAACTATGGATTTTTCTTTTTAATTATTGCGAATCTTGTGCTTCAAAACCATTATTTACTGTACAATTTACAAGTGCAAATCTCTAAACAAACAAGCAAACATAAAGCAAATATTACAAAGAAGGGACATCTCAAAACAACACAAACTGCCAACAATAACAATAGCGGGACTTTCAATTCTGAAGAAACTTGCAAAAGTAGAAAATAAACAAGCTTTGCTACTACTTGGAACACATTTGTTCTTCATCAAACATGATACACATATGGGATTACAACTGCTGATTGCAGTTTGCCAAAAATATAAAATGCAAGCAATATATCACACTGCCATTGCTCTGCTTACTGTACATGACAACAAAGGTATACAAATTCTAATGAAATTAGTAAAACTACCTAATCATTTCTACAAACTGAAATATTGCAGGGAAGAATTCAAGTCTCTGACTCCAACTGCCACAATTCTCAATAAAAGACAAATATTTGGGACTTGCAACAAGGATAATCAAAATCGTATACACTAGGACAAATCAACATCACCAGAAAATATCACATGTCATAGATGTAACATGGATTACCAAATAGTTTGTATGAAATTTAATTTTTAGTAAGTTTCTTATGTAATTTCTTGCACACATAAAAATTTAAATGCTTTTTAGTTTAATCTGAAAGTAGAAGTTAAAACTCACTCAATTATCTACGATTGATCCAAATAATTAATAACTTGTAAAGAAAAATTAATCACAAAATTACAATGATCAGTAAAACGTAAACAATATTTAATAAAAATGTTAAACACCAATGATTATGAGAATCTCAATAATCAAACACGTTCGACAAACAACAATCTAAATGCTGTTCCTATAGCATATCAAAAAAAATTTCCATTTCATTATTTATTAGATTAAATTCCAAGCCAAACCACAACATATTTTGGAAACCCACCTGTCGAACCATTGTTAACTATTTATTACGCTTTCCTTTAATGCGCTACAAACAGTTTGCTACCATTTCGTATCCCATTACCCAATAAATTGCCAACACTTTTTCAATCAATGTGTTTATCTGTTACTAGATGTCTATTAATTTTCTCAGAGCAACTTTTATATTGTTTGATACAGTACCCCAGAAATTGATTAGGTTGTCATGTTCTCAACTGCTAAACAAACAAGGCAACGATCAGAAAATAATCCCAAAAACTTTGAATAAACTGTATAGATAGACATACATTTTCAAGATCAATATGAGGATTATGGATGTGAAGGAACCATTGGAATTTTATACTATGACAAAAATTCTCGCATTAAAGATTAGTTCAAATTTATTTCATCTGTTTGTTTTCTATTTCTATTTAGATAAAACAAATCAAGATATATTCTAATGTAAAGTAACAAAATTTTAATTACAAGATTAAAATACCAGATAAAACATAAACAATATTTAATACTTTAACAGATATATAATAACAATATTAGACAAAATTGTTTATGAAAATGTTAAAAAAATTAAACATATTCAACAAACATCAATCTAAATATATTATAATCTTAATTTAAAAAAAAACTATAAATAACCATTTCTATTACAGATTTAAAAAAAATCTTTTAAAGCATTATTGATTAAACAAGATCCAAGCCGAAATATATGCATGTTTCATAACCATATTGCTGAACCAAAATTAAAAAATTAATAAACATATTATGACATCATCGTATCATCTTTTACTTGGATACTTAACAAAATATTTATTGCCCTTCCTTTAAAAATGTATAAAAAAGATTTTATTATTAGTAAATCACAATGTTTATTTATTATAATATCTCAACATCTTGCCAAATCATCATTAACTACCTAACTAATATGTTGCACACTTAACAACATATTTATTACGGTTTTCTTTAATATTGTACAGATAGTCTACTAACGTTTCGTAGTACCTTATCCAAGCAATTATTAACACTTTTTCGATCGACATGTTTATTTATTACCAGTTATCTATTCAGATTCCACCTCTTCGTATCCTATTCACCTATAAATATTACTCTGACATCAATCACCCATTTAACTTTCTTCAAACACCATACGCTTTAATTGTTCATTTCTTCTCCACAACTTAATTCGAAAATGTCTAACAAAACATCACAACCAAAAGAATCTGCAACGAATATCAGCAACGACCTTAATAACAGTAATTCTCCACCAAGGCAACCGAAAGGTATGAATGTTCCACATCTTTTGTATCCTAAATTACAAAATGTCAAACAAAACGATAATACATATTCACAGGAATATAAAAACCATAAAAAAAAAACTTTTTGATATGTCGAGAGTTCGTTTCATAATTATATTTACAGATTCATGTTACCGTTTCCATATATTTATAAAATTTGATTGTATATTGTTTCTGCAATTGGTTTAGACATTTTTCAGGGAATGCTGGAATTGAGGGAAATTTCAAAAAAGTTGACACCAATCTAGATGATTTACATACTGCTAGAGACAAATTCAGAGAAGTTATTGACTAGATGTTAGAAATTATGCAATCTGCCATGGATATTATCTATAACATAAACAAAAGAGAATATGTATTTGCACTAGAGGAATTGAACAACTATAAGAGAAATAGAAAATAAACACCATCTACATCATCTAAACCCACTTCACAATATGAAAAACCGTTGTACTTATTTCTTTTATAATAAAAGTATTATTCTCTATGTTCAACTTTATCTTGATTTTAATGTTACTCATTAATTGATTGAAAATTGTTCCTTTAATTGACGCATTACATTTACTGTTTAATGAATCTACTAAAAATTCTCCATCTTGACACGTTGGTTTTGATTTAATTCTTCCATCTTCACACATTGGATGAGTATTAGTAATAATTATATAAGTACATTACATAGGCATTCCAAAAATCTAACCATTTTAAATAAGAACGTATAAAGATGGAAGTTAGTCTCTTCATATTTTGTTTTGTAGTTCTACAATTATTAACCCAGAAATTAATTGAGTTATCATATTCTCAACTGTAAAACAAACAAAGTCTTTGAATGAACTGTGTGAACAGACGTTTGTTTTCAAACCTTGGCTGAGGATTACTGATTTTAAAGAAATATATAACTCCTATACTGTGAGAAAAAAAAAATTACCAGTCAATGTCAAACTTGAAAATGAATATAACTTACAGAAATTGTGAAAGCTCAATGTAAATTTTAAGTTTAAATAATTGATCTTGATAATATTAATTGACATTAATAATTATAAAGATACAATTATTAATTTTATCTTAACATAACTCTGTATATTTATAGAATTTATATTTACTCTGAAACTTGTATAATTTAACGATTATTATCACTTAATCTAATTACTTTATTATGTTAGAGTAAATTTGTTTACAACCTATTTTAAAAATATTAAATAAACATATTCGTGCCACACACAGACCCCATATCTAGTTATAAGTTTAGATAATAATGAGGTTTTTAATACAAGTTAAAACTATGTTTTGTAAGCGATAACATTACTGGTCTTTGGGTGGACTCTAATTTAACATAGATTAACTATCAATCAATGTTTTAAAACCCGGCCCTGCCCGGCCGCTTCAACCGGGACTTGGAAGCTTCAACGGGTTGGGTTTATACTTTTCCTATTCACCCAAAACCCTAGGATGTAGGATGATTATCGGCGATCAATTGACGGCCAAAATGTAGGGGCTTTTGAAGATAAAGTTTTGGTGAATGCAATGGTGGTGACGGAGTTGATTTCCGGTGAGTAAATCGACCGAAAATCGAACAAAACTGGCCGCAGCAACAATGAGATTTTTCCGGCGATTGGTGAGGCTAACGGGGGTAAGGTGAGGTGGGTTTTGGTTGGGAGGAAGATGGGAGTGATTTCTGGGTGATGGGGAGGGTTGCCGATGCTGGCGTTGATGAGATCTGGCCTGGAATGCCAACGTCGACATGGGTGAGATCTGGCCGAAATAGAACCTATTTCGGCCAGATCTTAGGTATATTTTAATGGGAATGGGCTCAAGGGATGATTGGGGTTGCCTTTAGGGTGTTGCCGCCGCCAATCAATGGCCGGATGATTTGCATTTGGGGTGTGTTTAATAAATTTCAAACTTATAAGGACTTACTGTAATTGTCAAGCGTGTATTTGCTGAATTTTAAAAGTTTTTGTCAACCGGTTTGACTAGCTGTCAAACCGGTTAAGCCGGTCAACCCGGGACTCGGAAACTTTGCCGGGTTTCACCCCGGGTTAGTTTTAAAACATTGCTATCAATAATGTTACTAACATATTAATGTACCCAAACCGTTATTCTAAACTTATAAACTCTTTCTATTTCACATAAAAAAGCACACAGCAAAACATTAATTTATTGAAAAAAAATCTTTCAAGAACAATTACCAAAGATATTGTGGAAGAAGAGTTGATGTATCCATGGTCTAATTCAGTGCTAAGTTATACAAAAAGACGGCTGAAAAGTTCCAGTTCATTACAATCTACATTCTACACAACATACAAATTATAAACTGCAGTAAATCAAGGTCTCCAAAATTCCATCAAAATCCCGGAACATGTTTAGTGGAGATGGGAAATACATTAGAAGAAAAGACATGTTAAGATGCAGACAGTGGGATAGGCTTTACAGCGCTTTGAATTCGTCGAAACGCTGTTCTCACTCTTTCCTTGAGGCCTTCATTTTCACTCTCAACATCTCCACTCTGTATATCAAGATGTGCCACATTCCCATCAACGCCTATCACGAGCTTTCCATTCTCTCCTAATTTCACATCTCCAAAGAGTGAGACAAGCAGTGCATGAATAACCTTTTCCACTTTCTTCCCACTTTCTTCCTCAGATTTCACAGCTTCAGATTCAATGACTACCTTGGGGAACTCTCGACTGATATTTAGAACGAGTGCCACTATAGAATCGGATACCATGTCACTTATAGGATCTGAAGTCCAATGCATTGAAAGATGCTTCTCTGAGTCTTGCTTCAGAGTTACTCGATCATGCACTCGCAATGTGGGAAACCCAGACTCCTCATCTGTTGATGACTCGACACTCTCATATATCTGTTCAAGTCGAAACTTTACCACACCTAAGGCACCAGAGTATGGGATAGTAATCCTTTGAGTAATATTTGCTGTGGATAGCTGTGAGAAGAAGTGGAGATCATCAGAAGCCATTATCTGATAAGTGAATCCTTTCTTTACAAGTATACCACTGACCGTCTCACCAACTTCTGGGGTTTTCTCGGCCAGCCTTCCAATGGTTTTGGCCATCTTTTCCGAATTAAAATACATTTCAACAGACTGACAATTCCTTGGGGTGATAATTTTGGTGTTGCAATCCGCAAACTCAGTCAGAAGCTTCATTTTGAGCCTCCCCATTTCATGCGATTCACCATGAACAAGAATTATGTTAGGAGGCATGAGTTCTTTCAAAAATGTACTTGTCTGAGCATAGTCTGCATGGGCAGAGAAGGATATGTAATGGACCTGCATGTTGAGAGGAGCGGTGAGACCATTCATAAGAGTCACTTCTTTTGGTTCACTAATTATGGATTTCGCCAATGTCCCTTCAACAACATAACCCGGTATGACACAAGCATTTTTCTTATCAGAGCACCATATGTCAAATAATTGTCGTGACAAGCCGCTCTGAAGTCCACCAGGGCTGGCCATCACCACCGCTGGGCCTACATCATTGAAGTCCTCCATGCTATTTAATGGTGAAATGTGCTTAAATTTGAAGGGGTTTGAGTTTGCAAACTGGTTGCGAATCCTCTCATTCATGGAAAGGATATATGTCTGATAAACAGCCATACACTTTTTGGCAAGTGGAGAAGCATAATATATTGGAATATTGTGGAGCTCAGGATGGTTTGACCAATATTCATCAAGGATTAGGAGAAGCTCTTGGGCACGGCCAAGGGCAAATGCTGGAATTAGAACACGACCACCATGAGAAATAGTTGTGTGAATAACATTAGTGAAGCGCTTCTCACGAATGTGCCGTGGTTGATGGAGCTGGACACCATAAGTGGATTCAATTATGCATATATCAGGAGAGAATTGTGGGAGCTCAGCAGCACGGAGATGGCGATCTTCTTCTCGAGAATAATCTCCAGTATAGAGGACTCGAACACCCGCAATGTCCACCATAAACATGGCAGCACCAAGGACATGGCCAGCAGTATAGCACCAGAACTTAATGCCACTTACCTCAACCGTTTGATGAAAGTCAAGAACCTGGGGTCAATAAAAAAAAATTATTATCACATTCATTGGTTAGATGATTAGATACAATAAAAGTATAGCAAATTATAGGTTAAAAAATTGACACCCACCATAAGTTGATTAAAAGTTGAAAACTATCAAATAAAATTATAGCAACATATCACACATTATTTTCCCACTATCCTATCTTATTATCCTATCCAATCCTATCAAAATGCATATTTGTTTTAATATTTAAAATTCTCTTCAAAATCCAATCTTATTCTATCCAACTCAATACATTAACAATTACCTTTCTCAATAAAAGTTTTAAAATTAACAAAAACAACCCTACCAACCAGCAACCACCGTCGGCACCGTAACGACGCACGATCGGCTGGATTTGGCTAGTAGTGCGCCGATCTGTCCTCAACCAAAGATCTGACCATTAACGGCTAGAGAAATTTGACCGTTAATGACGACCATATCTTGGCCGTCAACAATAATCAAAATATGGCCGTCATCAACGGCCAGATCTGTGGTCATACATATGACCGAAAAAGGCCAAATCCGTGCACGATCGGCCAGATCCAACTGGTTGTGCGTTATCTTGACAGCTTCTGGCCACCGTTCGGTGGTGGTGGCTGGCTGTCGGCAATAGTTGGGTGGGTGGGGGTGTTTTCGTAAATTTATAAACTTTATTATGGAGGTGTTCAGTTAAATTAACAAACCTAGGAGGTTAAAAAATAATCTAAATATTTTCACAAAATATTTTCAAAAAATATATCAAAAACATTCTCAAAATCATATCCTATTTTCCAAAAATCCTATTCATAATAGAATACTACTCTAAAAAACTAAACAAACAGAGCCAAAGTTCACAACAGTATAAGATTCGAGGGAAACTTTATAATAACTGAATGTAGATCGAGAGATATGGAAACCAAGTATTCAGGGAAAACAGAAGTCTGCATACCAAAGAAATTTAAAATAAAAATGTTAAACACAATGATTATGAGAATCTCAATAATCAAACAAGTTTGACAAACAACAATCTAAATGTTCCTATAACATATCAAAAAAATTTCCATTTCATTATTGATATATTAAATTCCAGCCAAACCACAACATATTTTGAAAACCGCCTGTCGAACCATTGTAACTATTATTTACGCTTTCCTTTAATGCGCTACAAACAGTTTGCTACCATTTCTATCCCATTACCAATAAATTGCCAACACTTTTTCAATCAATGTTATCTGTTACTTAGATGTCTATTAATTTTCTAGAGCAACTTTTATATTGTTGATACAGTACCCCAAAATGATTGGGTGTCATGTTCCAACTCTAAACAAACAAGGCAACGATCAGAAAATAATCCCAAAAACTTTGAATAAACTGTATAGATAGACATACTTTCAAAATCAATATGAAGATTATGGATGTGAAGGAACCATTGGAATTATACTATGACAAAAATTCTCGCATTAAAGATTAGTTCAAATTTATTTCATCTGTTTGTTTTCTATTTCTATTTAGTAAAACAAATCAAGATATATTCTGTAAAGTAACAAAATTTTAATTACAAGATAAAATACCAGATAAAACATAACAATATTTAATACTTAATAGATATATAATAACAATATTAGACAAAATTGTTTATGAAAAGTTAAAAAAATTAAACATATCAACAAACATCAATCTAAATAATTATAATCTAATTAAAAAAAAACTATAAAAACACATTTCTATTACAGATTTAAAAAAAAAAAACTTTTTAGCATTATTGATAAACAAGACCAAGCCGAATATATGCATGTTCATAACCATATTGCTGAACCAAATTAAAAAATTAATAAACTATTATGACATCATCTATCATCTTTACTTGGATCTTAACAAATATTTATTGCCCTTCCTTTAAAAATGTATCAAAAAGATTTTATTATTAGTAAATCACAATGTTTATTTATTATAAATCTCAACATCTTGCCAAACATCATTAACTACTAACTAATATGTTGCACACTAACACATATTTATTACGGTTTTCTTTAATATTGTACAGATAGTCTACTAACGTTTCGTAGTACCTATCCAAAAATTATTACACTTTTTCGATCGACAGTTTATTTATTACAGTTTCTATCAGATTCCACCTCTCTATCCATTCACCTATAAATATTACTCTGACATCAATCACCCATTTAACTTTCTTCAAATACCATACGCTTTAATTATTCATTCTTCTCCACAACTTAATTCGAAAATGTCTTAACACAACGATAATACATATTCGCCAGGATATAAAAACCATAAACAAAAAAAAAAAAAACTTTTTGATTGTCGAGAGTTCTTTCATAATTATATTTACAAATTCAGTGACCTTTCCATAATTTATAATTTGATTGTATATTGTTTCGCAATTGGTTTAGACATTTTTCAGGGAATGCTGGAATTGAGAAATTTCAAAAAAGTTGCACCAATCTAGATGATTTATATACTGCTAGAGACAAATTCAGAGAAGTTATGACAGATGTTAGAAATATGCAATCTGCCATGGATATTATCTATAACATAAACAAAAGAGAATATGATTTGCACTAGAGGAATGAACAACTATAAGAGAAATAGAAAATAAACACCATCTACATCATCTAAACCCACTTCACAATATGAAAAACCGTGTACTTATTTCTTTTATAATAAAGTATTATTCTCTATGTTCAACTTTATCTTGATTTTAATGTTACTTATAATTGATTGAAAATTTTCCTTTAATTGCGCATTACATTTACTGTTTAATGATCTACTAAAAATCTCCATCTTGACAGTTGGTTTTGATTTAATTCTTCCATCTTCACACATTGGATGAGTATTTAATAATTATATAAGTACATTACTGGCATTCCAAAAATCTAACCATTTTAAATAAGAAGTATAAAGATGGAAGTTAGTCTCTCATATTTTGTTTTGTAGTTCTACAATTATTAACCAGAAATTAATTGATCATATTCTCAATGAAAAAAAACAAAGTCTTGAATGAACTGTGTGACAGATGTTGTTTTCAAACTTGGCTGAGGATTACTGATTTAAAGAAATATATAACTCCTATACTGTGAGAAAAAAAAAATTACCAGTCAATGTCAAACTTGAAAATGAATAACTTACAGAAATTGGAAAGCTCAATAAATTTTAAGTTTAAATAATTGATCTGATAATATAATTGACATTAATAATTATAAAGATACAATTATTAATTTTACTTAACATAACTCTGTATATATTATAGAATTTATATTTACTCTGAAACTGTATAACTTAACGAATATTATCACTTAATCTATTACTTTATTATGTTAGAGTAATTTGTTTACAACCTATTTTAAAAATATTAAATAAACATATTCGTACCACACAGAGCCATCTAGTTATAAGTTTGATAATATGAGGTTTTTAATACAAGTTAAAACAAGTTTTGTAGCGTACATTACGGTCTTTGGGTGGACTCTAATTAACATAGATTAACTATCAATCAATTTTTTAAAACCCGGCCTGCTCGCCGTTCAACGGGACCGGAAGCTTCAACAGGTTGGTTTATACTTTTCTATTCACCCAAAACCCTAGGATGTAGGAGATTATCGGCATCAATTGCGACGGCAAAATGTTGGGGCTTTTGAAGATAAAGTTTTGGTGAATGCAATGGTGGTGCGGAGTTGATTTCCGGTGAGTAAATCGACCGAAAATCAAACAAAACTGGCGCAACAACAATGGGATTTTTCACGATCGGTGAGGCTAACGGGGGTGGGGTGAGGTGGTTTTGGTGGGAGGAAGATGGGAGTATTTCTGGTGATGGGAGGGTTGCGACGTGGCGTTGATGAGATCTGGCCTGGAATGCAACGCTAACGCGGTGAGATCCCGAAATGAACCTATTTCGGCCAGATCTTAAGTATATTTTAATGGGAATGGGCTCAAGGGATGATTGGGGTTGCTCTGGGGTTTGCCGCCGCCAATCATGGCGGCGATTGCATTTGGGGTGTGTTTAATAAATTTCAAACTTATAGGACTTACTAATTGTCAAGGGTGTATTTGTGAATTTTAAAAGGTTTTGTCACCGGTTGACTAGCGTCAAACCGTTAACCGGTCACCGGGACCCGAAACTTTGCCGGTTTCACCCCGAGTGGGTTTTAAACATTCTATCAATAATGTTACTAACATATTAATGTACCCAAACCCTTATTCTAAACTTAAAAACTCTTTCTATTTCACAAAAAAGCACAAGCAAAACATTATATTTTGAAAAAAATCTTTCAAGAACAATTACCAAAGATATTGTGGAAGAAGAGTTGATGTATCCATGTCTAATTCAGTGCTAAGTATACAAAAGAGGCTGAAAAGTTCCGTCATTACAATCTACCTTACACAACATACAAATATAAACTGCAGTAAATCAAGGTTCCAAAATTCCATCAAAATCCGGAACATGTTTAGTGGAGATGGGAAATACATTAGAAGAAAAAGACATGTTAAGATGCGACAGTGGGATAGGCTTTACAGCGCTTTGAATTCGTCGAAACGCTGTTCTCACTCTTTCCTTGAGGCCTTCATTTTCACTTAACATCTCCACTTCTGTATATCAAGATGTGCCACATTCCATCAAATAATATTAAAGTGATACCAACACAAATTTAGAGAAATAATTAACCAGATGTTAAGATAAAATTAATAATTGTACCTCTATGATTATTAATATCAATTGTAGACATATGTTATTAAATCACTCATGCAAGTTGAGAAGACTACCTGAATATTATATGGTCTAATTGTACAATCAATATTATTTTTGCAGCATGTCTTTGATATTCGATGTCATATTTTAATGCATATACATTTTTACCACCTTTTCCAATCTATTCTTATTATCCTTTCTATTAAACTTGTGCCAATAGGATTTTATTCTTCTTAAACAACCATGTTTATTTGTTATAACATCTTTATTCATATTCCATATGTTTCTTTTGTATTCCTAATTAAAC